TGCCCCCAATCCCTCCCAGCATCAGGGTCTTTTCCAATGAGTCAACTCTTCGCATGAGGTGGCCAAAGTATTGGAGTTTCAGCTTCAGCATCAGTCCTTCCAATGAACACCCAGGACTGATCTCCTTTAGGATGGACTGGTTGGATCTCCTTGCAGTCCAAGGGACTCTCAAGAGTCTTCTCCAACATCACAGTTCAAAAGCGTCAATTCTTCGGCGCTCAGCTTTCTTCACAGTCCAACTCTCGCATCCATACATGACCACTGGAAAAACCATAGCCTTGACTAGACGGACCTTTGTTGGCAAAGTAATGTCTCTGCTTTTTAATATGCTGTCTAGGTTGGTCATAACTTTCCTTCCAAGGAGCAAGCATCTTTTAATTTCATGGCTGCAGTCACCATCTGCAGTCATTTATTAGAACCCTAGATAAGTCACAGAGGCTGAATAATGGCCCCCAGAGATGGCAGACTCCCTGGAACTTGTGAACGTGACCTTAGGTATTTAGAAAAAGCGTCTTTGCAGAGGTGATATGTTAAGGATCTTGAGGGGGAGATAATTCTGGATTCTCGGGCAGGGGTCCCCAGTTCAGTGAGAAGCGTCCTCATAAGACACACAAAAAGGGACAAACACAGGGGCTGTGACATTGGAGGCAGAGGCCGGAAGGATGTGGCCCTAAGCCCAGAGGCACCTGGGTCCCCCGGAAGCTGGAGGAGGCCCAGTGTCTCCACCGTGCCCGCCCCGCCTGCCCACGCAGCACCTCCCACGCCCCGCGGTTCAGCCTTGTACGTGCCGTTCCCCTTGGAGGACTTGGGGTACCGAATGCTGGGCCTGGCCCCTGGAAACAGGTGCCCTGCCTGAGGGGAGCCTCGGTCCCTGCCTTGAGGCTGGAGCTGGCTTGGCCTCGCTGTCCCTGAGCCCTGGATCCCCTTGCCGGGCAGCGCGGACTGGAGGGGCAGCCCAGAGTCTCCTTCTGGAGGTGGTGTAATGCCTTCTGCATGGGGTCAGGGGGTGCACAGCGCCCAGCACCTGGGCCGAGGTGTGATTGGCGACGTGCCCGACCCTGTTCCACCCAGGGCAGTGCTGGGCACGGGCTGGACTGGGGTGGGGCATGTCTTGGCATTCCGTTGGGCAGTGTTGCCCCAGCCCTACAGAGTCCTGGTGGGACCTGAGGCAAGCCTCCCCCCCCCTCCGGGGGTCCAGTGCCACGGGGGCGTCCTCATCCCCCGGAGGCCCAGTGCCACGGGGGCGTCCACGTCCAGGCGCATGCTCCCCAGTCCTGTTTGTTCAGGGATGTTTGGAATCTCCCAGGCGACTTTTGTACAAAGAGGAACCCCTCCGATACCGCCGGAGTTTGAACGTCAGCAGCTAATCTACTAAATCACACGCTCCGAGTTCGGCCTTGAGGTTCAGGCAGTGGGACAAGTCCTTTGTCTGTTATCGGCCCGAAGGTCCTAGCCGGGAGAGCGGGTCTTTGAACCTCACACAGCCTCATTTATAGCCTTAATCAAACACGGGCCCCAGTCCAGGGCTTGTGTGTAAATGTCATTTACTTAGTTTCCTCTTTTCCCCCTTAACTTAGAAACGCTGTGGTTTCACGTGTAGCGTGAAACCTCCTCTCGGACAACATGTGAGTGCACCGCTCGGACACGCAGACCTGAGCTGTGCTGGGCAGCGATTAACTCAGCCGTCCTCAAAGCCTCATCCTCCCGAAGGGACACAGTCTGCCCAGAAGCCCTGCCTCCCTGCCCTGCGCCTGGCCCCCGCATCCTGTTGTCCATTTCTGTGGGTTTGAGCTCCAGGGCCCTCATGGGAGTCGAATCACACAGGACTTTCCCTCCCGTGACTGTGGTGTCTCACCGAGCAGTGTTCCCAAAGTCCGTCCCTTCGCACAGAACGTTTTTTCTGGACCAATGAGACTTTTCCAAGTACCTAATTGTTATGTATTGAATCCGCTCCCCAGGTGGGGCAGTGGCAAAGAATCCACCTGCCCTACAGGAGACGTGGGTTCAGTCCCTGAGTCAGGAAGATCCCCTGGAGGAGGAAATGCAACCCGCCCCAGTCTGCTGGCCTGGGAAATCCCCTGGACAGAGGCGCCTGGCTACAGTTCGTGGGGTCGCAGAGAAATTGACCGCACAGATAGGGTGCAGCCAACGCTCCCTGACCGCCCCAGCGCTGCGTCTCAGCCTCCTGGGCCTCGCTCAGAGCTCACAGAGCCCGAAGGCAGGGGTCTGTCACTTCTGGGTTCCGAGTGCGCCTTGAACAGGCTCTATTCCCCTTGCACGTGAAGCGTGTGTTTTTTATTCATGTTTTCAGCATCACTGGGGAATATCCAGGGTTGAAAGAGGTTTCCCCGTGGACTTCCCTGAAGGCCTGGTCCGGCCCGCCTGGGCTGAGCCTGCCAGTCGCCGGTGCCGCTGGGGGCCCAGCCCGTGGGCGAGGGGGTGGGGTCCTGCTGTCCACCCCCCCGTTGCCCCCTGGCGCACCCTCCTGCTGGACCACCTCCCTGGCACGGCCCCCACATTCCTCTGCGTTCCCCGGGCACCTGCTGGTGCAGATGCTGAAATGATGTCCGATGTCCGATAACGGCACGGACGTCCTCAGGTGGGAGCCGGCGGCCGTGCGCCCAGGGTGGATCGGCCGTCAGGGCACAGGCAGGCCATCGTCCTCACCTTGGCACGCACACACCTCCCTGGGAAGTCGGGTCGGGCAGCCCCAGGACCCGCGGGAGCCTCTCCCCTGCCCAGCCCCGCTCCCCAAACCCCGGACAGAGCACAGGGCGGCTTTCCCCCTCCCTTGGGCCTTGGTCCTCCAGCTCTTGGAGGTCTGTGGCTGCCTGACTTTGGAACCTCAGGACCTAGGCTGGGATGGAGAGGGGGGTGGCCAGCCCTGCAGAGGCAGAAGGGGCGTGCCAGGCCACCCAGGTTGCTGCCAACACCCCAAGGGCAGGGGCCCGACCTTGGCCTCACTGAGGCTCCTGGGCCCACACGCTCGGAGGGGACAAAGCACCCTTTGTGAAATGATTCTTTCTGAAACCGGCACGTGTGCAGGTATTCAAGGAGCTGTTGAGCCTTCAGAAGACAGTGTGACGGAGGCCGACACGCTGTGGAGGGTCGGGAGCCCTGAGCCTGGAGGCCCAGCAGCCCCCAGGGGGGTGCTCCTGGGTAGGGGCCCACGCGCTGGCCCAGGGCCTCCACCAAGGTTCTGGGCGCACAGTGCGGGGTGGGGTGGGGTCTCCGTGTGCTTCTGAGCAGGAGCTGAGGCTGAGGACGCCCACCCTGATGTACCCTTCAGGCCTGTCCACAGGCGGAGCTGCCGTGGCCAGACCCCTCCTGTTGGCAAGACCCTGTCCTCCCCAGCCCCAGGCCTCTGTGCCCCCGCCCGGCATGCGGTTCTAAGACAGCTCTCACTGCTGTGTCCAAAGCCGAGGTTGTCCTGACGGACAGCGCGCGATCAGTTGCCACCGGCCTCGAGAAGAGCGACCGCTGCCCCAGGCCTCCGAGGCAGCTGAGTCACCGCCGTGGCACCTCGAGGGGGCAGAGACGCCCCCTGGGTTCTGTCCACATCCTCTGCCTCAGGAGGCAAGACCGGTAGAGAGTTTAGGACTTTTCGCACATGTCCTGGCGGTGGGGACTGGAGGTGGGGGGACCCGGGCAGCTGTGGGCAGCAGGACCTGCGGACCTCGGTCCGGGCCTGCTGGGCGCCAGCTGCCCCTTCCCCACCAGGGCCTCCCTGCACCCTGGGGGCCAGTGGCCCGGGGCACAGGGCTCGGGGCTCGGGGCTTCAGCCAGTGTTGGCCCGGTGACTGTGGGCCAGCAGGGGTGTCGCTGTCCTGACCTTTGCTCACCCTGGGGGCCAGTGGCCCGGGGCACAGGGCTCGGGACTCGGGGCTTCAGCCAGTGTTGGCCCGGTGACTGTGGGCCAGCAGGGGTGTCGCTGTCCTGACCTTTGCGCCCGAGTGTGACCGTTTGTGGAAGCAGGGCTCTGCAGGTGTGACTAGGTGACAGGTCTGGGTGTGGGCGGCTGTCCGGACCACCTGGATAATGCTCAGCGTCATCGCAAATGCCCTTTGTGGGGAAGGGGAGGGTCAGAGGGGAGAGACCACACTGGCGCCCTCCTGGGGCCTGGCCTCACCCCCTCCGTGGTCTGGCCACTGGGGGTTCACCCTCAGGAAGCGTGGAGTCTGGGCCCCGGTTTCCTCGTCTGTAGCATCTCTAAGCAGCCGACGCAGCCGTCGTCTTGCAGAGATGCGTGTTACCGTCTGTACTGTGAGGCTGGGCGGTGCAGGCGGTGGTGACGTCCTTCCCCAGGACAGTGTCTGTGCCTGGACAAGCTTTGCAGAAGCATCTCTGCGGGCCGTAGGTGGGCAGGTTTAGGAGGAGTGGGCGAGAGGCGTACACGGGTCCAGCCTTGGGCCACCCCGGGGCTGACCCCCGAGTCCCTGCCTGCATGTCCGCTGCTGAGAGGAAGTGACCACGGGCTGTGTCGATGGGGAAACTGAGGCTGGGGAGTGGTCTGGGCCAGCTGGCCAGCACCGGGCCTGCCTTCTTTCTGTGGCTGCCTGTGTTCCCGGGGGCCTGGGGGCAAACCCTCGGGTCAAGCACGCTGCCCTGTTGTTGGGATGCCCGCGGAGCCCTGCGACCATCACCCCACGTCCAGAACGTTTGCCGCCCAGAGGAGGCCCTTGGGCCCCGTGGTCCCCAGGTGGCTCTCTGCCCCGTGAGTTTCCACTCTGGATCCTTGGAGACCGTGTGGGCAGCGCCTGGCTCCTCAGCCTGGGCCTCCGAGGCCCATCTGCCCGTAGCCTGGGTCAGAGCCCACGCCCTCCTGGCGGGGGGCAACCGCGTGCGGTTGGCCCTGCTGCGGTCGGGGCACGCCTGGCGGTCGGGGCTGGCCCTGGGGGGAGGGCCCGGTCCCTCGGCGGTGGGCGAGGCCCGGGCCGTGTCTGGGGGGCGGGGTGGGCGGCCTGGCTGAGGCACTGACCGTGTGTGCTCCTGTCCCGCAGCTTCCTCATTGTGCTGGTCTGCCTCATCTTCAGCGTGCTGTCCACCATCGAGCAGTACGTCGCCCTGGCCACGGGGACCCTCTTCTGGATGGTACGTACCAGCGCGAGGGGCCCTGCGCTCTTGCCCCCCGGGCAGGTGGGCCGCAGGGCGAAGCCCGCCGCTCCTGGCCTCTCCCACCCACGGGACCCTGTGCCGGCGCCCAGGGCTGGCTGGCTCTGTGGGCTCGCCCTGACACCGGGGGCCTATAGGCAGTGGGGACCCCACCTTCCTGGCTCCCTACCTTGCCAGGATGTGACCACTGGGCTGAGAAGGCGGAAGAATGACGGGACGCTGGGCCTGGTGGTCTGGGAGGGCTTCCGGGAGGAGTGGGCTTCTGAGCTGGGAGGGAAGGAAGGACAAGAGGCTGGGGTTGCGGTCTGCTCGGCCTGCGCCGCGTCCCCGGTCCGGCCGGCACACAGACCTGCGGGCGTCCCTGCCCCTGCCCCCAGCCTGGGCCCAGGTGCCCCTGCCCTCGCCAGCCGACGGCTGTGAGCCGGGGCCCCCGAGGCCTCGAGGCAGCACCTGTCGTACTTTACGCGGTCAGCTCCACTGTTCGCCCGACGCCTCTGCATTCGTGCTCACGGAGTTTCCCCTTCGGAGGTTAGCGAGACACTCAGCCCGCCTTCCTCTGGCAGCTGTCTGGGTGGACCTTGTGTCTTTAAGCTGTCGGGGCTCGCTGGGCACGTCCTGGTGGAAGGACCCAGTCCACTCTCCCCCGGTCCCCCTCGCCGCCCCCCACGCTGGCACCGCTGACTCCAGAGTGTGTGTCTCTTCCCGCGCTGACGGGGACCCGGGCGTCCCGGGCTCTGCTCTGCGGCCTTCCTGTCCGTCCACAGCTGCGTGTGCGTCTCCACGACAGTTTGCTTTCCCGTGCGGTTGGCGTCGGCGCCCCCTGCTCTCTCAGGGCTCACCTGGCGATTCCTGCTCATCTCCTCTCCCCAGGGACCTTTGCGATCGGCTTGTCTGCCTCCCAGGAAACACCTGTTGGTGTTTGATGAGTGAATTTGAGGAGGCCAGCATCTCTGTGGAGTGGGGTCGTCCTGTCCACGGGCAGGGCGTGTCTATCAGAGGGTTTCACGGTTTGGGGATGTGGGTTTGAGACAGATGTTGTTGTTATTATCAATATGATAACAGCTGCTGTTAGTCACCATCACCAATGGAATCCCTTCCCTTATGTTTCCGGGAGGTTTTCTTTGCCGTCTAGGAGGGCGACTGCCCTTGTCACCTGTGCAGCCTGGGACTCCCTCTGCTTCGGCTTTGTTTGCGGTGGTTTGTCCTCTGACCCTTTGGAGTTGTCTGTCTGGAGTCTCTGCTGCCTGGTCTGGTCCGGTGCGTTGGTTGGGTGTGCAGACTGGCATCTCTCGGGCACTCCGGCTTTGCGGGGCAGGCCGAGGGGCTCTCCACGTCTCCTAGGGAATGCCTGGCCTGGGCAGAGAGCTGTGCCTTTTTCTGGGCTGGGGTGGCCTTCAAGCCCCATGAGAGGGCAGGACGCTATGGTGACGGTTTCCTCTGCTGTGTGTCGTGATCCTGTGCGTGTCTACGTCCTGACCGCCTCTCCTCTGAGGACACCAGTCCTACGGGACGAGGACCCACCCTAGGGACCTCATTTTACCATAATCACCTCTTTAAAGACCCGTCTCCAAACACAGCCGCATCTGAGATTCTGGGCTCGGGATCCCAATATAGGGACCAGGTCACAGCTCAGCCCACGAGGCCCCTGCGTGACTGGGTCGGCTCCCCCTCTGCGGGAAGGTTCACTCCTGCGTTCTGAGAGGCCCCCACAACCTTGAGTCCCATCGGGGTAGGGGCCCCCGGGACACCCGCCCCCCGCCTGGGCCCTCCAGAAGCTGGGGTCCCGGTTTGCAGGCCACTTGGCCCCACCCTCCTGCGGCTCAGGCAGGGCCCTAGGTGCAGCCCGCGCGGGATTCCAGCTCCCGAGTCACTGCTGATGTCAGCGCATCCCAGGCCCGGCTCTGCGGCTGGAAAGCAGACCGTCGAGGGCGTGGGTCACCCCAGGACGGCTCCGGGGTGGGGGGCAGGGCCTGGCAGCCTCGGGCCTCATCTGGTCCGGCCTCCCCTCTCCCTTTGGCCTGTCTGGGAGCTCCCCCGTCCCCTCTCCCCAACACTGCTGCTCCGTCACAGTGAGTTCCTTGGGGCTTCATCAGAGCCGGGCATGGTGGCAAAGGGGCCCCAGGGCCGTCCCCGCAGCCCCCAGGCCCTGCCGGCTCCCCGCCTCCTGGAGGAACTGACCGCGCGCAGTCCGGGCGTGGCTGAGGTCCGCGCGCCTCCTGGTGGCTGTTCTTGGAACTGCGGTCTCCTCCCTGAGGCTCCCTTCGTGGCTCAGTTGGTAAAGAATCTGCCTGCGATGCAGGAGACCTGGGTTCGATCCCTGGGTTGGGAAGATCCCCTGGAGGAGGGAAAAGCTACCCACTCTAGTATTCTTGCCTGGAGAATCACATGGACAGAGGACCCTGGTAGGCTACAGTCCATGGGGTCACACAGAGTCAGACACGATTGAGCAACTAAACCACCCCCGCTGAGGATGGGGGCTCAGCTCGAGCTGGGACCCTGGGGGGTGTGTGCCAGCAAGCAGCCCCCCGCCTCCCGCAGAGTGCCCCCGCTGCGAGGGCTTCTCCTGTTCCACGTGCCCCCATTTTCTCCCTCTCCACAGCGCAGCTGTTGGCTTGGGGCGGGGAGTGGGGGTCGGGGGGAGGCTTTCCAAAACCAAGCTCTGATCATTCTAGAAGCTCTGGTGGGATTTCGGATCTGCTGGGCTGGCCCCCAGTGCTGCGCACCCCCTGTCTGTTCCTCCGCCGGCTCCCTCTGCTTCCGGGCAGTTAGCTGACCCCTGACCCTGGGCCTTCCTGCTGCCCCGGGGCCCTGGCACATGGTCCTGCCCATGGACTGACCCTCTGACCGGTCGCGGGGCTGACTTCCCGCCCGCCCGGTCAGGCTGCGGCTCGGCCATCACCTCTGGTGCCCCCCGCGACCGCCCGCTGCCGGGGCTCCCCATCCCCACTGCACCCCACTCTCCCCCCGGTGGCTGGGCGTGGTGGGGGTCTGTGGGCCGAAGCGGGGAGCGCCAGGCTCTGTCTCCTTGCTCCGCCGCCCCTCCAGGGCAGGGGCCCACGGATGGCACCCTCCACAGGCCCAGAACGGTGCTGCTGGGTTTGGACATTCTGCTTTGAGTCCAGGAGTTCAGAGGGGGCTCCCTGGGGCTCCCGGAGCTGTCGTGGGGTCCTGGGCCTCAGCTTCCCCATCTGCGGAACAAAGGCCTGGGGGAAAATGGCCTCAGATGCAACCTTTTGATGGCCTGTACTGCGTTCCGAAAGATTTCACAACTCGCTGGCCTGTGGAGACAGGTCCTTTGTGGTGGGTTTGAGCTGACCATGTCCAGAGTCATGCCTTTAGATCATGACCACGGGGCGGGCGGTGGGGTATCAGGGTCACCGGGAGGAATGCAGCCGCGGGCCCGGGAAAGACATGGATCATGATAGGAATGATGTCAAGGGTTGGGGCCTGAGGAGGTAAGAGGTGAAGCGGGACTTGGGGGGCGGGCAGGGCATCTGCAGGGATGCCAAGGGCTTCCTGGAAGAGGGGGTGTCTTGAGGGTGGGAGGAGGAGGTGGGTGGGTGTGGGGGCCTCCAGGGGCAGGCTGGGACCACCCCTGCAGCTGGCCCGGGGTCCCTGGGCTCTGGGTGGAGGTGGCAGCGGGGGGCTCCCTGGAGAGGCTGTGGTCTGCAGGCTGGTGACGGGTGTGGCCCCAGGCAGGGTGTGACGGAGGGAGGGTGTGTGTGGGCAGCGGGCCACAGAGGCGGTGGTCGCAGGCCTTCCTGGGTTGGCCGCCCAGGCTGGGGCTGCAGGACAGCAGGTGGCGGTGTTGTCTGCGGCTCGAGAACGTCGCTGGCCGTGACCCAGAACTGCGAGCCAGACCACAGCCCGGAGCCAGGAGGGGCCTGGGCTCACACAGGATTCCAAGAGCAGCTCGGTGTTTAAATGGTGGAAAAAAGTCCTTCGAAGCTGTGTTTTCCCACAGAGCCCATATGTCTCCCTTCCTTTTCGTGTGCTGGTTTTTATGGGGCCAGAGAGCTGCTGTCTCAGCTCCGGGCGAGGGAGCTTCGGGCGGCCTCCAAGCGATTAAGCATTTTGCTGAACCAGGGAGATCTGGGGGGCCTGAAAAAGCCACTTGGGGTGGGGTCTCGTCGCTGCTACAGGGTCTATCCCAGGGATGCAGACGATCCTTTTGAGATCTGAGCCCTGCTTGCGGCTTCTGGGGAACAGGGCTCCCGACACAGTTCCTGAATTCAGAGGAAGCCGCGTGCGCGTGTGTGCATGTGTGTGTGTGTGTACACGTGTCTGTGCGAGCGTGCAGCGCGCCTGTGTGTCCGCTTGTGCACATGGCCGCATGCACGCTCTGTGCCCGGGTTTCGGCGTGCACTCGTGCCTGTGGCCGGGCTCCAGCCCCGGCGGCTCTCCTGTGCCCCCCCTCCCCGTCCCCCCGCCTGCTGCTGTAGCAAACACAGCCCCTCCCCGCTCCCTGGGGGAAGAGACCCCAGCTGGGCCCAGGTGAGGGGCTGGTTTTTGTCTCCGAAATCGCAGGGTGTTTTTTTTTTTTTTTCTTTTTCAAATCCCACACAAAGAGAGAGGCCCTCAAAAGCACAGCACAGACCCCGCGTATCCCAAGCTTCTGGTGGGCGCATACCAGGGATTGTCCTGCGATGCCTGCGGTTGAAAACCCCGTGAGCCGCAGCCCGGAGGCCTAGCGGATGAGGTCATCGCCAAGGCTTCCTCCCTGGCCCAGGCTCCCGGGGGCCCCTCCGCGGTGACCCAGCCCTCCCTCCGGCTGGATCACCCACCCCGGGGCCCTGGCTCCCGCAGCACAGGCGAGGGCATCCTGCCCTCCAAGCCTCAGTTTCCCCGCTGCGAATCCAGGCCCCGCGGTGACCCTCCCCCCACCACCCGGCGTCCCCTGGCCCCTCAGTGGGCCCCACGTTTCTCTGGAATGAGGCCTGGGCTCTGTCTCCTGACCCCCGGCCCCAGCGCACACCCCG